TTTTACATTTATACCTGTACCAAGGAAAGTCAGAAGCTACTCTTTCTTTTCTATGCTTTTTCTTTTCTTTTTTCTTTTCTTGACTTTCTTGTATTTTAACTTTTTGGAAAATTTAATAAAATTTATATAGAAAAAGGAAGCTTGCAAAAGTTTTCCTCCTTTATTGTAAGAGAAAAATGTTGGAGTGTGCTTATAAAGTTATTTACATAAAGTATATATTATCAAGAAACCTTGCAGAGTCTACCTTCACTGATAGTTTCATACATTATTCATAGTTGCTTTACTATATGTATATTCCATGTTTCTTCCAGGAACTCAAAGCATGTATGTAAGATCACTTCATTTTTACCCTAATACTATATGGCAGACTGAGAGATGATGACTGAGCAAGCTCACCTACTGGGTTTCATGGAAGAATGCGAATGTGAACGTCAGTTGCTCCACTCCCACTTCAACATTAGCAGGCAATTCATAAGTTCAGTTTCATTGCTCTCTAAATAGAATTCAAACATTTCATTCAACTATAACAAGTCAGTTTTTTTAGAAGGTTAGCTTATTGCTCAGCAACAGCAGACCTGCGCTTGCTAAGCTAAGATTCCCATCCATCTCTTCCTTCCAGTAAAAGTAACTAAACTAGCTGGAAACGGATGGAAAAAGCTCCTGTTAAGTCTGAATCCAGATCGTAGCTTGTTACTCTCCTAACAAATCAGGGAGAAAGAAAACCAGCTTCAAACTCAAATTCAGGCATAACAGTACATTTCATAAGTATGTTTCTCATCAATAAGCCAGAAGCTCTACAATTATTGTTACCTTGAAACATAGCTATAATTAATCTTTCAGTGGGATACTGGTCAAGGCCTGGTTTACACAAGCAACTGACTAAAACAATGAGGTGACAGAATAGACACACCATCTCTGAATATTCCCTCATGCTGACAACTTCTTGCAAAAAGAGAACTAACACAAAAAGCAATGTGTTCCTGTAGGGACCTGTCTCACCAGCTGCTGAATTTTTAATGTGCAAAGAAGGACTTTTTTCTACTAAATATGGAGAAGCGTTCAAAAATGGTATTCTTCCAGCTATAATGTTAGGTGATGAAATACATTCAACCCCTTCAAATTCTATCCCATAATTCTCACCTCATTTTGCTACATGTGGAGACAGTCTTATTCTTGAATTTCCAGCTTTCATCCATAACACCACAAAACTGAAATGGAAGTTGCTCTATCTGACAGAGGTTGCATAATCAAACTCCTGCAGGAAACATTTCCAAAGTTTGATAAGATGGGCTTTTAAAAATTCTAACTTTATTAGAACAAGAACATATGTATATACTGTTCCGATATGAAAAGCATTTAACCAAATAGAAAACTACAAAAAAAGAATCTCAAAGCCAGGCTTAGATGCCTTCCAAAATGAGGGTTATGTCATTAGAAAATTATGCTTTCAAAGGTATACAGGTAGCACTGAAGTCATTTCATGGGGCAAGCATACATCTGAAATCAGCTTTAAAGACCACTCAGAACTATTTTTGTTTTTAAGCATTTTACAGCACAACAGCCAGCCAAGACTAATCAAAATATTAGGACCATACTTCTGAAATATGGCAGGTTAGCCATATCTACACAGAATGGTTTAATCACTGCCCGTTTAATAATAATAATTTAAAAAAGCATTCATCATCTCAAAAGGGACAGCCAAGGATACCACAGCACAGTGTTTCTCAACCTTGGCAACTTTAAAAAGAGTGGACTTCAACTCCCAACATGGCTGGCTGGGGAATTCTGGGAGTTGAAGTCCACTCATCTTAAAGTCGCTAAGATCGAGAAACACTGATCTAAAGAATAAGATGTAATAAAACATGGTGCCCTCTAGCTGGTTTGAACTACAACTCCCAGAATCCATGCCCTTGGACATGATGTTGGGGATCATGTGAGTTGTTGAAACATCTGGAGCCGACTAGACTGCCCCTCCTCTTAATTAGGGATGCCCTTTTAGGAAGCTGCCTCCAACTGGCTTTCCTGATCCAGAGCATTCTTTCTAAAGCCAGCAATTAGAGTGGTTAATTCAGCTCTTAAGACCTCAGACCTTAAGACCTAATTCAGCTCTTAAGACTCTTGAGACAGCATAGAGATTTACTTTTTTTGCTAAGGACTGAAACAAGTCTCTTATGTGATGCCTGAGTCAAGAGCTGCTTGGTCACAAAGCACAGAATAAATTGCATTTTGTTGCAGAAAATGTAGAAAACCCTTTCTATCACTCTTCTGAAGGCAGGAGTAATGTGATGAGTTCAAAATGTTTCACACTTAAGATGCTTGCTCCAATTTTTTTTTTAAAGTATATTCAATAAATATAAGCACAATTTCAGGCCACCAATTTATGTATAATGACTAAAAATAATTATATCAATTTCATTCCTCATATTTAGGTAAGTGTCTGTCTACAGGTTTCTTTATTCAATAGTTTGAAAACATCACAAAATAAAAGGAAGCTGCAGTATTTCTCAAAAATGCTGCATGAAAGTAGATGCACCTGCCATCTGGTGGCTAGTTACATTACAACATTTGAAGGGCTCCAAATTCAGGTATACTATTCCGTATCTTGAACATTAATGATTCATCCTTGGATAGGAGACCACCAGGACAACCAAGGGCTAAAGGATAAACTGGGAAGTAAAAAAAAAAAATATCCCAGAAAAAGTCAATGGGAAACCATTTCTATATTGTTGGCAAAGAAACCACATGGACCTATATGGTTATCATATCAAGTCAAACTTTACTTAAGGGAATGTTTACTTTTTATTTTGTATCAAGCTTACCAAATAAATATACATACACAGAGATCAAATTTGGACAGCCCATTTTTGACAGAAGGCCACTTAATTCACATATTTTAAATCTTATGAGATGATCCAATGTATATATACAATATTTAAGTAAGAAGTAGTAAGTGGATCACAGAGAGACAATTATTAGTGAGTTGCGACTCACCATGGCTCCCTTCAGGTAGAAGGAAAGTCAGATTTGTCTCATGTAATATGTGAAATAACTCTGACTTTTGTATTTCACATGGTAACTAAACCAGTTCAGTTATATTTTCATTTGTTTGTTTAAAAGTAACTGGCACAAGCAAATCAGAACATAAGAGTCTGCAAAGCCTCTGATTATTGTAATAAAAGAAAGGAACAACTATAGCTCTCAAGTGAAACACGTCCCACCACTGGAACAAGGCCAGTGGTGTGGTAAGCTAGGAGTAGTAAAGAACCAATATCTGGATCATCTGAGGTTTTCCATTTTTATAACAGAAGGCCATCGTTAAAAGGATACATCAGTTTAGGCAATACAGTATTAATTTCTAACTTTATGCACAGCATGTAAATACCAAAATCTTTTGCAAGCTACATGAGACTATGTAATACAACACAAGAACCCAATGTATCACAATTTATTTATTTAGTGGTAGAAAAAATGGGGGGGGGGTGGAATTTGGCTTAAAAGTAGTTGCTACTGATTGTAGGTAGTCAAAAACCTACTAGAAAGTTGTGGATAACTTCCAAATGTTTTCAGAACTACTTCATATAAATCTACCAATACCATAATTTTGTTTTACAAGGAAAGCTCTGATCACATCTCAAAAAGGATATTGTACCCTCGGAAAGGTGCAGAAATGATTGGGTCCAGAACATTTCCCTTTGTGGTACAGTTATAATGGGGCTATTGATTGTATTTCTAGACTGCTATTTTATAAAGGAGCAAAGATGGGGGAGGGACAAAATAGAAGTTTATAAAATGATGTACAATACAAGGAAGGTGGATATGGAAATTTTCTTTCTCTTCTATAACACTAGGCGTCATCCAAGGAACCTAAATGATGCAACAGTTAGAACAGACAAAAGGAGATATTTCTTCCCACAAAGCACAGTTAAATGATAGAACTGCTGAAACCAAATGGCTACCAGAATAGATATGTATCACAGGTGATTCCCTATCTGTAATCTCACAGAAAGAGTGTAGACCTGCCCCCAAATCTTGACAAATTATTGCCACAGCCAATTTCTGCTGACAATCTAGGACTATAAAGACCAGGAGTCAACCTATTTCCCTTTACTTTCAGAGCTAACTATGAATCAAGCTACTTTTACTTTGAGCTGATCATCAATTATAGTTAGTAGCATAATATGGTACATAATATGGTTACCAATCAGATTGGTGAAGACATAAATATTCACCAAAGTTACTACTGAAACTGCACAGTAGTAGTAACAGAAAATGGAGAAAAGAGATAATTGTTTCCTAATTATGACTAGGTGATTAAAATAGTTAAAACTACACTCACTTAGAAAGCTGACATTTTTAAACCGGTACAAATGAGATACTCTATAGAAGACACTGGCTAACTTCACACTCACACTAAGCCATAACAGGATTTCTCTGGTTTTGGGTTAGTAAGTTGTATGAACCCTATTACTGTGATATGTAAACCATGTTTATGGTGAAACTGCTATATTGAATACACCCATTGTGGATTCTTTAATCATCGTTATAACATCAATACAACATTTGCATACATTAATATCAACAGTGCTTTAAATAAAACAAGGGATAACATAAGGAACTATCTAATATGGAACAGGACATACACATCTAGAGAAAAAAAATCCATACCTTCCATTTTCGGCTAAAATTGCACCTTCATCCTTCAGATGTTTACTTTGGGCTACACAGTCTTCCATGAGAAGCCCCTTTTTCCTTTTGGCTTCATGAAGCCAATCAACTTCATTATCATCAACCAGACGCTGCTCATCAGCAGCTTGAGCTTCAAATTGCTGGGATGTTACCTTAGATACCTTCTCACCAATCTTCCTTTTCCATCCAAAGGAAGCCATTCCAGAAAACTGAAAAGAATGCACATTCAACTATTTGCATAATTTTCATCTATATGTAACATATCAATTTGAATAAGTAATCTGTATTATGTAAGTAATTCTAACCCAGATAACAAATCCACCTGCTCAAAAAGTCTAATTTCTGCTAAGAAATTCTGCTTATAATCTATGATTTTGGTATCTATTTGAATTAAATGAAAGCAAAATCGCAAGCTTAGTTTATGTATCATGCTAAACCATAATGTAGTATCTTTAGTTTTCACTTTAGTGTAATGGTGAATGCAACTATTCTGGTTTATAAATCTTATTTTTAAGGCTTAGAACAATATTTCTCAAACTTGGCAACTTGAAGATGTATGGATTTCAACTTTCAGAATTCCCCAGCCAGCCATGCTGGCTGGGAAATTCTGGGAGTTGAAATCCACACATCTTCAAGCTGCCAAGTTTGAGAAACACTGGCTTAGCATGACATATGAACCAAGCCTTCATGGCATGCAGTGCATAAAGCAAGCCACAGACTGAGGCATAACATTTTCAGTGAGGTAACCATATTAATTTCTTAACATAAACAAGGGCTCTTGTAACATCTTATGGAACAACTTGTTCTATTTCTGTGGACCATCAGAAATATGACATGAAAATGTCGTATCTTATCTACACACACACACACAGTTGAAGGGCAATGATTGTAAATACATGAGATATTATGGCTGGTGTGGGTCTTCCGGGCTGTGTGGCCGTGTTCTGGATGTTTTGTTTCCTAACGGTTCGCCAGCATCTGTGACTTGCATCTTTAGAGGACAGGAGCACAAACAGGAGCAGTTCTCTCTGTGCCCAGGATGATGTGACCCTTTTGTGGGTATTTATAGAGATCAGATCCAGAACACGGCCACACAGCCCGGAAGACCCCCACCAGCCATAATATCTCATGTATTTACAATCATTGCCCTTCAACTGTGTGTGTGTGTGTAGATAAGATACGACATTTTCATGTCATATTTCTGATGGTCCACAGAAATAGAACAAGTTGTTCCATAAGATGTTACAAGAGCCCTTGTTTATGTTAAGAAATTAAT